ACATCACTGGGTCCGGCGTCGCTTTTGATTTGTGTTTTTCTACAAGCTGTTCATCTGATACGTTTTAGCCAGAGATCCATGTTTGGGATATTTTATAGGTTAAAGATATTAAACCTGATAAGGTTTAATATCTGGTTTGCTAGCAAAGAGCTACACTGTTCTCTAAGAAGAGAAGAAGAAATGCGCGCACCAGTGAGTAGCGGAGAATTCGTCTAAATCTAAAAACATCCACATTAGTAGCTACATGTTACCCTGATTTTTATAAGGGGGGATTTCCTGCTTATATAAAACAGATTCGCAGGGAAGGATCAGATAATGCGATATTCCTGCAATCCTGCTGGGAATTTCAGGCCCTGCAGTCAGAGGGAACCGGACTTTGGCTCAGTTTTTCTGAAGGTATGTCGTCTCTTATCCTGGAGTCTCTCATTCTGTTGTCTCACAGTAGAAACACCTCAAAGCGCTGATGTTCCTGAGCAGCATGGAGGTTCTTCCTCCTCGTTCCCACTGGTCCTTCTCCTGGGTCCCTGTTTGTTGGTGCGGGTTCACCATCTGATCGGAATAAGGATTAGACTGTTTGATCTTCAGAGAAACAGGACTACACTGGAAAACAGGCCAAGCTCCAACATCTAGAAACAAAGGTGTTGATGGCAGCAGCACAGCTGATATTTCTCTCCAGGATGGAGTCACAGCCAAACAGGAACAGACCAGATGAAGCTACTATGAGAAAAAGCAGAGAGAGCAGAACGTTAGAGATTGAACTAACAGATTCTGCAGAGTGGGAGAATAGAGATAGAATGAAGCAGAATGATGAAAAAGGGGTCCCTATGTCCTCCAGCAGTCTAAGCCTATAGCAGCAGAACTATAGAGATAGCTCAGGATAACCTGAGCCACTCTAACTAGAAGCTTTATCAAAAAGGAAAGTTTTAAGCCTAGCCTTAAAAGTAGACAGGGTGTCTGCCTCACGGACTAAAACTGGTAGTTGGTTCCACAGGAGAGGAGCCTGATAACTAAAAGATCTGTGATGCTTTTCTGTTGGAACAAAGATGGCTTCCTTCATGCCTCTTTCAAACCATCTTTCCTCTCTGCTTTGGTCGTTACTAAAAAAGATTCAGTTGGTTTAAAGTTTGATTTTGAGTAAAGCGGAAACAATTTATCGGATTAATCACAATTAATACATTTTTGAAATAATCGTTGCCTAATTTAGTAATTAATTAATCATTTACTGGATGCTCAGAAACCTTAAAACATGCCTTTAGCTGAAAAAGCAACTTAGAGCAGGAATTATACCAAGATTGAAAAAGAGTTTATAAAAATTTTGCCTTTAAAGTGAAAAAAGTTCTGGTCTTTCAATCTGAACGTTTTAGTTTCACCTGGTTTAATTTTATAAACTGTCTTCTTTAAGGAATCTGAGTATGAAACATAGTCTTAAACGTAAAACTAATCAACAGATTAATCAATTTGCTAAATATTTGTTAATTGCAGCGCTAGTTTTAAGTATCTGTGAATTTAGAAAATCCAGTTTTAGCAAACAGGAGAAGGCCTCTGAGGTTCAGTCAAAGCTCACTTTTAAACCGCACCTTTTCTTAATTGTAATATTGTTACTGTTTATATTTCTAATAATGTGTGCAATATATTTCAGCATAATGAAAAACTTTTCTTTCTTTTTATTTCGTTTTTTTTCTGCCGGGTTTTCTCTAATTTTCCTTCTTCCTATCTTACGATTATCAATCGTGAGCCAGAAAGTTTCCGACCAGCAGGATTGAGGTGGAACCAGTCGGTAAAACCTTTTCCTCCTGTCCTCCGGTGCAGGACCTTCCACAGTCGCTGCTGTTTGTCAAGATCTTCACGGCGGGACATGAGGTTCCCAGCGACGCCACCATCCTGAGCTTCAAGCGTGTCGTGCACCGCTTCCTCCGGGACAACGAGGACAATGGTGAGGGGAGGAGCCAGCCGAGGAGGGACGAAACGCAGCAGTGAAAAGAAGAACGACCACTGATCTCTATTTATCCCCTGATTACTGATCGCCCGTTGGCAGTACGGGGTTGAGGTGAAGCCACCGGCCGCCATATTGGTACTCCCTAGTTAGACTGGTCACAATGTAAACAATCTATGCGCTACAGCATCAAACAACGATGATGTTCTCATTTTCAGGGGAACTTAAGACTTTTAAAATAAAGACAAATTAATAACTTTAAGACACACTGGCTGTTTCATAGCATCAGTCGATTACTGTGACGTATTTCATTTCCATTTTCCATCGCTCTTATCCCAAGCGGTGCCTATCTGCAGCTGTCAGTGGGTGAGAAGTGGGGTCCACCCTGGACAGATCTCCAGTCCATCGCAGGGCAACACAGAGACACACAGGACAAAGCCAGTTAACCTAACAGTCATGTTTCTGGACTGTGGGAGGAAGCTGGAGTACCCAGAGAGAACCCAGCATGCTCAGGGAGAGCATGCTAACTCCATGCAGAAAGACTCCAGACCTTCTTGCTGCAAGGCAGCAGTGCTACCCACTGATCAGCCCAAACTTTAACTTGTCAAATAAATTGGTTCATCACATTGCATAGAAAAAACAACGCTGGAATTTTACCCATATGTTAAATGTTTGAGTTGAGTTGTTGTTTTCCATAAATATAAAATGTAATATATTTTTTTCAACTGAGAAATACAACAAACTCTACAAAAACTACAACATCATCTACTTCATACAGAATTCCTACATTAACATTTCTCAGTGAATGACTTTCTATTTCCTCTACTTTCTATTTTCTAATGTTAGACCCAATTTCAGCGTCTAACTCAGTCAATGTCTTCCAGTCAGTCTGAGATAGCCAGACTAATGTTAGTCTACAGACTAAACTATAGGATCCATCGGCTATAGATGGACTTATTGCTTAGTTCATCCACTGACTGGGAAATTATCTGAGGAACGTCTTCCTGCAGACAGAAACTGCTGGTTTCTGCACAGGGAGGCATTTTACTGCGCGTCTCCATGGGAGCGGGGAGTACCAATATGGCGGCTGGCTTCTCTTTTGTCGGGCAATCAGCAATCCAGTGAATAAATAGCGATCAGTGAGAACGACTCGTTGGGTTTAGAAATATCCTGTGTAGATAAAATTGACCCTTTATTTAGTTTTGTTTTTGTCGGCTTTATGTCAAAGAAGGAAAACTTTTAAAAAATGTGTTTTTTTTCCAAAATAAAACTTCAGGCTGTAGAGAAACATCTGATAGGTTTAACCACACCCACTTCTCTTCCAGACAGGCTGATCGGAGTCCACTGCACACACGGACTGAACCGCACAGGCTACCTGATCTGCAGGTACCTGATCGACGTGGACGGCATGGAGCCAGCGGCGGCGGTGCAGCGTGAGTCTCCTGGCCTCGTGTCTCACAGGGACGATTTGTGCAGAGATGTGAATCACCTGTTCTAATCTGCAGTGTTCAACTCATCGCGGGGCCACGACATCGAGAGGCCGAACTACCTGGAGGACCTGCACCATGGTCCCAAGAGGAGGTGATAATGAAGCCTTCAACAATGTGTACAGGCTCCACCTGCTGGCTGGATGCAGTAATGCATCTCAGCCTGTTAGAAGCTTCATATATTTTCTCTTTGAGGCAAAAGTTACTAATTGGTTAGAAATGATTTGATGAGAAAGAAAGAAAACATCTGAGATCGAAGAGGTGGATTATTCCCACCCTGATTCCCAGACATTCAGCTGATGTACAGAATTATTTAGATTTGTTTTTATGGGATCCTCTACAGAAACTTCCTGAACACTTTGAGTAATTTTTGTTTCCAACAGTAACGAGGGCATGGACGAGCCTGATCTGGAGCCGCAGAGAGGCAGAGCCGTCCGTCGGCCCACTTCCACAGCAGACGGCGGAGCAGAGACGTGTGGGGGCCTCAGGGACCCCCGGTACCACAGGTATTTACATCTGATCACGACTGCAGGAGGGAAGCTGCGTGGTGGGATTATAAGAAACAGAACTCTCTGACGTCTCACTGCAAAAATCCACAACAAATTCTATTCAGTTTATTTCTATAGCCCCAATTCACATCATTTCATCTCAGGTCATTTTCCAGTTCACCAGATCATCCAGTCAGATTGACTCAAAGTTTTCTATCTAAGGAAAACCAGCTGATTGCATCGACTCATTGACTCTTCAGCAATCCCTCACACTAAGCATGCTTGTAGCGACAGTGGAGAGGAAAAACTCCCTTTGAACAGGAAGAAACCCCCAGCAGAACCAGGCTCAGTGTGAGCGGCCATCTGCTGAGGCCCACTGGGGTTCAAGGAGACAGAAGCAGACATAGAAAAAGAAGCATAGATACAAAAGGCAACTGTCAACCAGCTCCACAGGCGGCCCCGTCCAGGAAACACACAGCCAGGCAGACGAGTTCTGAGCCAGCTCCCATGTCAGAGGATGAAGAGAGCACATCCAGTTAGTCACAGTCAGAGAAACAGGACTACACTGGAAAACAGGCCAAGCTCCAACATCTAGAAACAAAGGTGTTGATGGCAGCAGCACAGCTGATATTTCTCTCCAGGATGGAGTCACAGCCAAACAGGAACAGACCAGATGAAGCTACTATGAGAAAAAGCAGAGAGAGCAGAACGTTAGAGATTGAACTAACAGATTCTGCAGAGTGGGAGAATAGAGATAGAATGAAAAAGGACAGTCTGAGATGCAACCTGGCGACGTTGGATGGATTGAAACATAATCTCCCAGAGGTGTTCGATTGATTTAGGTCAGGCGAGCGTGGGGGCCAATCTTCCATCAATTTTCTTACATACTTAATTCCAAGTCGGGTGGCGAGGGGTGCTGGTGCCTTTCTGCAGCTGTCTACGGACGAGAAGCAGGATCCACCCTGGACAGGTCGCCAGTCAATTGCAGGGGGGCCAAATCAATGGTATCAATTCCTTCAACCTCCAGGAACTGCCTGCATACTCTCACCACATGAGGCCGGACATTGTCGTGCACCAGGAGGAACCCAGGACCCACTGCACCAGCATAGGGTCTGACAATTACCCCATTTACACTACCGTTGAAAAACCGTGCCGAGACCGGTCCGAGCTCAGTAACTGAGATAACTTATCGTGTGTAAATGGAAAGCAAACTGAACTGAACCGAGATAGACTCAACCAGACCGAGCTAACTGCAGACCAGTTCCAGAGGTGGGCTCGGCTCGGTTTTTCCCTGGCTCGGTTCTCTGATAACAAGAGCGCATGAGCAGAACGCGTCATCTCCGTCTGGCTGCACATCCCGATTCACACTCCATTCCAGTAGTTGTTGGTAATGCCCCTCTGGAAGTTGCTTGCCAACCAACACGAAACAGAAGAAGAAGAACAACTATTTAACAACAACCGAAATCTTCTCCACACAACATTTTAACCCTAACCCTCCGCAAACACTGAAGTACAGCAATAATACTCAAGCATTGATTTCCTCCTTCAATACTGGCAGTAATACCACAGATCGTCACTAGGAGGCAAGGAGTCGAGGAACCGAGAACGGTTGTCAGAACCGAGCTCGGGATGGTTAACTGATCCGAGCTCGGACCGGTCTCGGCATGGATCGGTTTTTCAAGGGTCGTGTAAATGGGGTAAATGGATGCAAGGATTTAATCCCAATACCTAATGGCAGTCAGGGTGGTGTTGTCTAGTCTGTATAGGTCTGTGCGTCCCTCCATGGATATGCCTCCCCAGACCATCACTGACCCTCCACCAAACCAGTCATGCTGAATGATGTTACAGTCAGCATGACGTTCTCCACGGCTTCTCCAGACCCTTTCACGTCTGTCACATGCGCTCAGGGTGAACCTGCTCTCATCTCTGAAAAGCACAGGGCGCCAGTGGTGGACTTGCCACTTCCGGTGTTCTGTGGCAAATGCCAATGGAGCTCCACGGTGCCGGGCAGTGAGCACAGGGCCCACTAGAGGACGTGGGGCCCTCAGGCCACCCTCATGGAGTCTGTTTTTTGATCGTTTGGTCAGAGACAGTCACACCAGTGGCCTGCTGGAGGTCATTTTGTAGGGCTCTGGCAGTGCTCCTCCTGCTCCTCCTTGCACAAAGGAGCAGATAGCGGTCCTGCTGATGGGTTGTAGACCTTCTACGGCCCTGTCCAGCTCTCCTGGAGTAACTGCCTGTCTCCTGGAATCTCCTCCATGCTCTTGAGATTGTGCTGGGAGACACAGCAAACCTTCTGGCAATGGTACGTATTGATGTGCCATCCTGGAGGAGTTGGACTGCCTGTGCAACCTCTGTAGGGTCCAGGTAGCGCCTCATGCGAACAGTAGTGACAGTGACCCTAGCCAAATGCAAAACTGGTGAAAAAGAGTCAGGAAAGATGAGGAGGGGGAAAAATGTCAGTGTCCTCCACCTGTAAAACCTTTCCTGTTTGATGGTCGTCTCATTGTTGCCCCTCTAGTTCACCTGTTGTTAATTTAATTAACGCCAAAGCAGCTGAAACTAATTAACAACCCCCTCTGCTACTGACCTGACCAAATCAATATCCCACAAGTTTAATTTACTTCATGCTATACTCTGATTACAAAGTGTTCCTTTATTTTTTGAGTAGTGTATATGGAAGGATTTTCAGGCCGCAGCCAAGGTGTTGAGGGGATCTGTCTTGGTGGCCTTAGGATTGCATCTCTGTTATTTGCAGATGATGTGGTTCTGTTGGCTTCATCAGGGCGTGATCTACAGCTCTCACTGGGGCGATTCACAGCCGAGTGTGAAGCGGCCGGGATGAGGATCAGTGCCTCCAAATCGGAGACCATGGTCTTGAGCCGGAAAGGGGTAGAGTGCCTTCTCCAGGTTGGGGAGAATGTACTGCCCCTAGTGGAGGAGTTTAAGTATCTTGGGGTCTTGTTCATAAATGAGGGGAAGATGGAGCGGGAGATCGATAGGCGGATTGGTGCGGCGTCTGCTGTGAAGCGTGCGCTGTACCGGTCTGTTGTGGTGAAGAGAGAGCTGAGCCAACAAGCAAAGCTCTCCGTTTGCCGCTGGAGCTCCCAGATCTGCTGGCGTCCTGCTTCCTGCCAGTAACGATACGCTACATGATTAGCTGAACGTTGCCACATGATGTAAAACATTGTGATTGCCCAGACAACGCAGCGTCCGTGTGCCGAGTCTGGAGCATCTGTAGCATTAGCGTCTCAAATGACCAATGAAGTTTTACTTGATTGATAACAAAACTGTAAAAAAATAATGATGTAAAGGGGAAGAGCTGGGGAGCGCTGTGGCTAGCTGTAGCTAACATGTTAGCCTCTTTTAGCTGAGTCAGTTAGCCATATTAAGCTACAATACTTTTAAACTTGTGTCAACAACAACAGGTTGTTTTATACAAGTAGAATAAATGTTTTATTTGCCTAAAATCTTTATGAAAGTCATTTTTAAGATGTTTTATTGTTCCACATCTACCCTCAGAACTAAAAAAAATAAAATAAAAATAAGACATTTTTTATCACCTTGTTAAATAGCAGAGCTCAGTCTGTCTTAGAAGGCAGGACTTTCCTTCCAGACTGACAATGATTGTTTTCTACTTTTGGAACCTTTAGATCACAGATGAAATGTAAAATAATAACAAATATAGGTAATAATATTTTGAGACTCCAGAAGAGATTTGATCCTTAAGAAACTGGTGCAATACAGTTTGTCCGAGCGGAGTTGCCATATACTGTATTGACGTCATAAGAAGGGGCGGAGCCCCTTGGAAATATGTTGTGACCGTTTCACAAGTTTAATTATTTTAGTTTTTGTTTTTTACTGGGTGTTTGTCACTGTTTTAGCGGTGCCAGTCAGGTATCCCTCCTGACAAGTAGGATAAATATTAATATATTTTTAAACCAGTCACACAAGGACCATACACTTAAGTGTGTAGACCCTTACAAATAAAGAACGAAAACTCTTCACAAATAGACCAACAAAAATCAGGCTTAAATATATAGCCATCAAAAAATAATCACAAAATTCTTCCCCAGAAAATAAATGTCCATTTTTTCCCAACGGATTAGGGCTCCAATATAAATTGCCCCACAGCAAGAGTGAATAAACAAGAGAAAAAAAAACATAAGAGCCTATATACAACAAAAGTCCTACAATTGCATATAAAACAGCACAAACAAACATACGGTACATAGAATGGACTTACAGGTCAGATGAGAAACAAATCTTGTTCAGAGGCAGGAACTGGATCAGGTTTTCTGTTGTTGGTTTCACTAGATGAATATATTTAAAATTTATTTTATTTTTTGTAAAGGGGCAAAATGATTAATTAGATTTTATATTTTCAGTAAGTATAGCACTTATGGAGGATCTTTAACTGTGACGTCACCGGCTTCCGGGTAATTGTGATGACACGTCGGCACGGCAGGAGCACAGAATGAAGTTTGTTTGTTTGGTTTTCTCCTTTTCGTTAATGATCGGAGGGATCCAGAACAGAGGCAAAATACTGAAAGCACGAGGGATTAAACGTCCTCGGACAGACTTTGTTACTGGTCGACAGAACGGAATATGCAGACGTAGTAGCAGCAGCTGTTTCTGTTACGCTGTCTGCTGAGACACTGACATTTTCAAACTGGAGCTAGGAGCCAGATTGAACAGTGGACCAATCAGGTAAGTGCATGTGTTCAGCGGGCATAAAGAAGGCGTGTCTTGAGCTGTGAAGAAGCAGGAGGATTTATGAATAACGGTGCAGCCAGCTCTGTGCAACAAGCCGGTTGTCACAATGTTACCTACTGCGGTCAATCTACATTCCTCCCTGCTCTAATCTGTGGTCATGAACTTTGGGTCATGAGCGGAAGAACGAGATCCCGGATACAAGCGGCTGAAATGAGTTTTCTCTGTAGTGTGTCTGGGCTCTCCCTTAGATATTGGGGGAGGAGCTCAGGGTAGAATGGCTGCTCCTCCTTCAGAGGAGCCAGTTGAGGTGGCTCAGGCATTTGGTTAGAATGTGTCCTGGACGCCTCCCTGGTGAGGTGTTCCAGGTGCTGGAGGGACTATGTTTCTCGGTTGGCCTGGGAACGCCTTGGGGTTCCCCCTGGAGGAGCTGGACCAAGTGGCTGGGGAGAGGGACGTCTGGGCCTCCCTACTGACGCTTTGATGCCAAGATGGCGCTTGGTGTGAACGCATCATAAGCCCCGCCCTCACATTTCAGGAGCTGTTGGCGTCCAGCGGAAGGTTTGCTGATGTGATTCGTGTTGAACGGAAGCTGTTAGTTTCTGTCGAGGATGTTTTTGGGTTAGTTGTTGATCGTATCACTGAAATGGGACGATTTTCGGCTTCAAACGTTTTCTGATTTATTTGCATAAATATCTCAAAAATGTACTCAAAGATATTCTTTTTTTTTATTCCTGCAGGACTTATCCCCCCAGAGGATCAAACTATCGCACTCACCCTTACCCCCCTCACCTTACCCACATACCCCGCCCTCCCTTACTCGCCCACCCCCCTCCCCCTCTATCAGCTCCCTACCATCCGTACAGATGGACTTCCCCTCATCCAGGCGCTCAGTGGAGGATGACTCCTCCCCCTTTACTTCCACGCTACTCCCCCCTTTGGACGCCGAAGCCTGAAGGGGAAGGACGAGCTGAGGACTGGAGCCGGCCCAGAACCAGACACCGAGCCAACGGCTATGACGGATATTAGGCGCCAAACGGGTCGATGTGCAGCCCGTTCTTTTAGGCTGTTCTAACCAAACTTTTAGGGTTTTAAATCTGGTTCTATTTCTGATTTATTTTTTTGTTTTTTTTTATAAGATTTTCTCACAGTTTCTTCTTGATTTTACAAATTTTAAATGAGTTCTTTTAACTGATCTTCCTCCCAGTTACAACTTCTTATCTCACCACGGAGTTTCTAATATGATAAAGAGAGAGAGGGAAGACATGCAGAAGCAGGACGGTGGCACCAAGGTCTAAGTTTGATTGACGGAAGAAATACATGACGTCACTTTATTTCAAAACACCTGTGAGCAAAATAGACACTCAAATATATGTTAAACTACTTCTGCGCATGATTTATCTTCCACCGTACAACAAAATCGGAGTATAAAAATCGCTCTCCACGCGCGATTGTGCTCAGGATCTCACTGTGCGCACGGTTTTTCTATCCAGTGGCCACGCTCGAGGACGGCTGCGCTCTCGGAAGCGTCTCTGCCCTCTGACTCATTTTCTCCTCACTTAAAGGAAAATGTGTTTTGACAGGTTGGGCAGAGACAAACCTCTTCTGTAAGCCTCTTCCTGATTGGGCCTTGCAGACCTGATCACACAGGAAGTAGCGTCAGGAAGCCTTTGACTGACGCTTACCACCCACGTATCGCAGACGTTAGAGAAGCTCCGCCTCTGTCCCTCCTCTAGTCGTAGTCTTCACTTACGGATGACCAGCTGTCAGTCTAAGGCTTCCTGATGCTACTTCCTGTCTGATCATGGCTTACAGTTAAAACACATTTTCCTTCGTGCGAGGAGAAAATCAGTCCGAGGGTAGAGACGCTTTTGAGAGCTCAGCCGTCCTCGAGTGTGACCACTGGATAGAAAATGGTGTGTGCGGTTGGATCCCAGCACGATCCCGAGCGCGCGTTGGAGCAGCTGGCGTGCGTGGAGAGCGGTTTTTACCTCTCTGAGCGGCAGTTTCTCTCGCATGTGTGATTTTGTTGTACGGTGGAAGAGAAACCATGCGCAGAAGTAGTTTAACCTTTATTTTGCTTGTGGGCGTTTTGAAATAAATGTGACATCATAGAAATGGCTTGAATTTCCTCCTCTCCTTCTTTCTCCTGCTCTGCAGCCTCACTGGCTTTTTAACTTAAACAATATATTTTATTGTGTTTGTTTAAATCGCATACGGCTTCTAAAACTGGCTGGTCTTTGCGGTCGAAGAATGTAAAGTTGAACTTTAGCCTGCAGTGTTTCTTTATGTTAAAAAGACCCAGATGAAAGTAGATGTTCTTCTAAAGACGTCATTTCTCATCATTCAAGGTTTCCATCATGATTGGATAGTTTTTAAGTTAAATTAAAATGAGGGTAAGGTCACAGTGTTGTTTAAGGGCATAAATATTTTAAAATGTGATGTTGATTCTTGCCTTCTTGATATATTTTGTATTTTCTTTGAAACTTTTGGATATAATTCAGAGTTTGGAAATGTTCTGACTGTTCAGGATGTTTCTCCTCTGCCTTGGCTGATTCAGAGGATTCTCTGCGTCATTAAAGTTTGTTTTTGGTCTAAAACTCTCTGCTTGTCTTTTGTTGATTTAACAGTCTCATGAGTTATTTAGGTTTTGCAGCAGCTTGTGTTACTTTTCAACCTCAGAGGCGTCAAGTAACAAAGTAGAAAAACTTCCTTCCTCATGTTGGCTATCTATTCTTTACTGGAGGAATTATTTTTAGTAAACCTTTTAGTTCTACTTCTTAAATTTTATGAATAAACTCATTAGTTTTGTTTAATTTAAGTTCATTTTCATTATAGCCTGTTGGTATAAAAAACAAAACAAAAAAACCCATCAAAATAATTAGTTTCATTCAGATAATTTCTTTGTGGTTGGACTTGGTGCTGCCCATGGGCGCAGGTTTGCATAGGGACCAATTTTGTACTGACCCACTTGTCCCTATCAACAATTAGATGTGAATAATATGTTTAAAATTTAAAATACAGCGTTGTTGCAGCAGTAGAGGAGTTCTGGATGGAGAATACTGACAGATGAAAACATTTTTTATCCAAAAAGCAAAATGTTTATATATTTTTTTACAATTTTGGTATAATTCCTGCTCCAAGTGGCTCGCCCTGTGTGTTAAAGACATGTTTTAGAGTCTCTATACTCCAGTTTACAATTAATCGATAACTAAATTTGTGGACAATATTTCAATAATAGATTAATCTGATGAATTGTTTCAGCCCTAGATAAAATACATGATATGGGTGAAACAGAGTAACTCCAGCCTAAATGTACGACTTGTAGAGTTAATGTTCTAAAAGCTCAGTGTCAGTTCCTCTTTTAGTTCCAGTGTTCATGTAAATACACTTCATTTATTTGGCGTTCCTTTAATCTATTATTTTGCTTTGTTTAATGATACAAACAGAACATTTAAAAGATAAGAGTGGGTTTTACCTCTGAACGATTCAATATCTTCAAAAGAAACAGGAAAATTCCAGTTGCTGGTAACTTCAAATGCAAACCTTTTCAAAGTGGAAAACGGTCCTAATTCCACATTCATTGATAAACAGCATCTAGTTTGTGTAGTGCTTATAAAATTTGTATAAATGTAGCAAGAAATGCTGCTTTTCTCTTTAAATGAAATACTCCCTGATTTTCACATCAAGCATAAAAAACCGAGCATGCATATTTTTTCCTAGGACATCAGACCAATAGTGTCCCTACCAAAGTCCTTGGTGCTGCCCCAACTTGTTGTTCATTACACATACAAAATAAATAGGTTTTTTTTAAGATGATGGTTAAATCTGACAACCAGATCATCCAGTCAGATTTATTCAAAGTTTTCTATCTAAGGAAAACCAGCTGATTGCATCGACTCATTGATTCTTCAGCAATCCCTCACACTAAGCATGCTTGTAGCGACAGTATATATTGTCTGTTGTTTTGTTTGTTTGTTTTTTTACCTTTAATATCATCTTGCTCTTTATACTCTATATGAGCATCTGGAAACAGAATTTCCCTCAAAGAGTAATCCCAAGGGATTAATAAAGCTGAGTCTAAGTCTAATCATGTTTAGATAGCAGAGTCAATGAATCTGGTTTCATTTTAATTTTAAGCATCTGAAGTAGTGATGGTTAATGAGGCATCTTGAAGCCAAACTATTGATGCTGCGTTGATTCTGTCTCAGAATACTGACACCTGCTGGACATTTAAAGACACTACAGGCAGCTGATTGGACAGACTAAACTGAATTGATTTGATGACCTAGAACAATATTTGAGTTATTGTAGGTTATATTGAATTATTTATTGTCTATATTTAAATAATTATCTCTACATTATTTATTGGCTGCATCTAAACATATAAAACATTTATCATAACGTGAAAACTCAGGAAAATGTGAATGACAATGCTGCTGGACTAGGATTTTAAATCCTATTATTTAAAACAAAAAGTACAGTAAAAAAACAGTACATAAACTAAGAGTAAATTTGAAATGAACTTTAATTCAGTGTGTTGAGTGATAACTGAGATGAAAAGGTTGACAACGAGAAAATTTAATTAAAAAAGACTGGGATCTGATTTAAAAAGCTCTGAAAAGGTTAAACAAACATATTTTTGTTGTTTTTGTTTCTTTTTTAAACATCAGAGTAATCTAGAAAAAAAACATGTCATGATGGTAGGGCTTATCAAGAAAAGGCTGAACTCTTTAAGTTGATGTCTCAAAGAAATGAAATAATTTAAAAAGAAAGGAAGGAAGATGGATGGAAAGGAAGAGGAAGGAAGGATGATTGGTGGATAATTTTATGGTTTTATTATTTTCTGTTATTTAAATAGTGAAAAGCATAAATTCTACCTCATTCTAGACTACATTTAAATTAAACATTAAGATGAACAGACTGGTTACAGATCTTTGGCTTTGTTCGAAAACCTAGGACGGGTCCTCAAGGACGCGGTCTACTTAGACTGGATCCTTCGAAGTCCTTGAAAATAAGGAGACCGGAAGAGATTAGGCTGTGAATTCGACCAGGTCTACCCTTCGGAGGGTTTTACCGCCGTATGCTCTGTTGCTTAGCAACCGTAAACGTTGACACACCACCGGGAGCAGGAAAAAATCAAATCAAATGTAATGATACAAACCTTAGTCAGTTAAAATACCTGCTGCTGTCATTCTGCACATCTCTGATGTTGCTGCTATTTTCAAATATCCATGACTGTAAAAATGTCCATAGCTGCATATTGGTTATTTATTCTCCAGCTTTATATTGTTAAAACACTTTACAGTATTTTATTGTTTATATTTTAACTCTTCCCTATAATGTTATTCTTATACATTTCTCTAAGGTCCTCATCTGTATGACCATTTTCAATAATCTTTCTGCTGCTGTAAATCTGCCCATTGTGGGACAATAAAGGGATTTTCTATTCTATAAAAGGGGTAGAAATATATAAGTAAATCTAAACAATTTTATTTATAAAAAATATATCTGCAAAATCTCTAATATTCAACAACAAAAAATACGTAGTTAAGCATATTGTGCAAAACAGCAATAAAAAAATAAAATCCTATCAGATTTATAGTCCCCACCCTGCAGATCTATTAGTATCTGTCCTTAAATTCCAGCCAAACCCATTTACACAGTAACAGATAAAAACCTTTAGATAAACCAAACATTACCGCCACATATCTGACTCAATAACCATTAAAACAACTATTTTTCATTAATCTCAGACGGAACTATTAAATGACTTGTATTATATTCAACTGAACTTCCAATTTTCACCACTGTTCGGCGCCAAGTAACCTTTCCTCTGATCACAGCTTGCTTGGTCTCGCAATGAATCCTGGGATATCCAAGAATACCGAGGATACATCAGACCCGTCCTTCAAATCAGGCAAAAAGAAGGACGCATTTTAAGGCCGCATAACGAGGACTCTTGGAATCCGACCAGACCTCGGCCTGCTGCAGTCTGCGCATGCGCTGAACGTCGCTGAGGCTGCTGCAGGTGGAATCATGGTGATGAAGGCGCTCAGAGGGATGGTCAACGGAGCCATGAGCGAGATCTCATCGGCCATCAGCGGGAACCGACCGACCGCAGCCGCATCCCGGGAGCACGCGCTGGCTGTGAGCCGGGATTACATCTCCCAGCCCCGCCTGAGTGAGTGTGAGAGGCAGCAGGTCCGTCAGCGGTCCATCAATAGTCCATCAGCAGTACATCAGATGTCTGTCAGTGGTCCTTCAGTGGTCCATCAATAGTCCATGAGCAGTCCATCAGTGGTCCATCAATGGTCCGTCAGAGGTCCATCAATAGTCCATCAGCAGTCCATCAATGGTCCGTCAGAGGTCCATCAATAGTCCATCAGCAGTCCATCAATGGTCCCTCAGCGGTCCATCAGTGGTTCGTCAGTGGTCCATCAGCAGTCCATCAATGGTCCGTCAGAGGTCCATCAATAGTCCATCAATGGTCCCTCAGCGGTCCATCAGTGGTACGTCAGTGGTCCATCAGTGGTCCATCAATGGTCCCTCAGCGGTCCATCAATAGTCCATCAATGGTCCCTCAGCGGTCCATCAATAGTCCATCAGCAGTCCATCAATAGTCCATCAGCAGTCCATCAATAGTCCATCAGCAGTCCATCAATAGTCCATCAATGGTCCCTCAGCGGTCCATCAGTGGTACGTCAGTGGTCCATCAGTGGTCCATCAATGGTCCCTCAGCAGTCCATCAATGGTCCGTCAGAGGTCCATCAATAGTCCATCAATGGTCCCTCAGCGGTCCATCAGTGGTACGTCAGTGGTCCATCAGTGGTCCATCAATGGTCCCTCAGCAGTCCATCAATGGTCCCTCAGCGGTCCATCAGTGGTCCATCAGCAGTCCATCAATGGTCCGTCAGAGGTCCATCAATAGTCCATCAATGGTCCCTCAGCGGTCCATCAATAGTCCATCAATGGTCCCTCAGCGGTCCATCAATAGTCCATCAGCAGTCCATCAATAGTCCATCAGCAGTCCATCAATAGTCCATCAATGGTCCCTCAGCGGTCCATCAGTGGTACGTCAGTGGTCCCTCAGCAGTCCTTCAATGGTCCGTCAGAGGTCCATCAATAGTCCATCAATGGTCCCTCAGCGGTCCATCAGTGGTACGTCAGTGGTCCATCAGTGGTCCATCAATGGTCCCTCAGCAGTCCATCAATGGTCCGTCAGAGGTCCATCAATAGTCCATCAATGGTCCCTCAGCGGTCCATCAGTGGTACGTCAGTGGTCCATCAGTGGTCCGTCAGTGGTCCATCAGCAGTCCATCAATGGTCCCTCAGCGGTCCATCAGTGGTACGTCAGAGGTCCATCAATAGTCCATCAATGGTCCCTCAGCTGTCCATCAGTGGTCCATCAGTGGTCCGTCAGTGGTCCATCAGCAGTCCATCAATGGTCCCTCAGCGGTCCATCAGTGGTACGTCAGAGGTCCATCAATAGTCCATCAATGGTCCCTCAGCGGTCCATCAGTGGTACGTCAGCAGTCCATCAATGGTCCGTCATAATATTTCAGTGGGGTTAGCCGTGTGTGTGTAGTATGCATGTTATGCCATAGGAAAAGACGTCCAGGCCATGAAGGCGGTGGTGGGAGAAGAAGCTCTAACGGCTGACGACCTGCTTTATCTGGAGTTCCTCACTAAGTTTGAGAAGAACTTCATCTCCCAGGGTGAGGCGCTCATCATATAAAACATTAATTCTGTTAAAAATAGTCTTTAACGTTAGCCCGTCTGCTGCAGCCGAGGCTAATGTTAGCTGTCTGCTGTAGTGTTAATTTTAGCAGCATTTTTATTTTTAGTTTCAATTTTAGTCCAGTTTCAGCATCGCTTGTTAGTTTTGATCACATTTAGTCGACATCATCACATTTTTATTTAGTCTAGTTTTAGTCGACTATAAGTCAGAGCATTTTAGTCTTTATTTTAGGCCAAGAAAACATAATTTTATTCGTTTAGTTTTAGTCAACAAAAACTGTCAACATTTTAGTCTAGTTTTAGTCAGGACATCATTTTAACCTTTTACTTTTTTGTCAGCAGATAATATTTAACATTTCCTAAAATTATTTCACATTTCAACATTTTTTCTCATCTTTTTGATAAAAAACACAATTTTAAGGAACACATGCAGACATGGAAGATGTTCTGACAATATTTGCATATGTATTTTGAACATTGTTAAAGTTCAAAGACACAAACACAAATGCCTGCAAAGCCCGGGGCAAAGCATGTTTTGCTTCTAACTTGTCGCCGCTTCACCATGACAGGTGTTGTGTAGGCTACTCTGTGTCCGCCCGCTCCAGGTTTGAAAGTGGGTGTGAGGCGGAGGAGGAGACAGGATTTGACAAAACCATATTATATAATAATATGTAATTTTTGTCTCGTCTTTTTTCGTGAACTAAAATGTCCATAGATTTTAGTCCAGTCTTTATTTACCGAACTGCATTTTCGTCTCGTCTTTATTAGTCAACGAAAATTATTTCTGATTTACTCCCAGTAATTGTTTATTAGTGGGGATTTTCGTCTCGTCTCGTCTAGTTTTCGTTCGGTGAAAAATGTGCGTTGACGAAAATATTTTCGACTCACTAATTAACACTAGTCTGCTGCAGCCGGGGTTTGTTTAACTTTTTTTAGAATAACTAAGACCTGGATGACTGAGAATGTTCACCAGCATTCTGCTGTGTGTGCTTGTGTGTCCAGGGGCCTATGAGAACAGGAGCGTGTTTGAAACTCTGGACATTGGATGGCAGCTCATGAGGATCTTCCCCAAAGAGATGCTGCAGAGAATCCCTCAGAGCACCTTGGCTGAGTTCTACCCCCGAGAATCCAAGCATTAGTCGCTGCTTCCTGCCCCCCCACCCTCCTCTGGGTTAGGCCCTACTGTGTAGCTCTGCGATGCCGTAACTATCCCGATGCTCGCTGCTTTCATCTGATGGTGAATCCTCCTGGCTGACAGGTGGAGTCCAGAAGGAGAATAATCTGTTGATCCAGATAATAATGTCAACATCTTGCCTTTAATCAGCAAAAAGTGGCGCCGAGATGAATTCAGTCTACAAAAACAAAAAAAGGTGGAAGAGGATCCCATTATTCACTGAATGTCTGCATCCTATTTGCATGAACTAAACCGCCATGTTTTCTACGTGTTATTTGGCAAAAAGTCTGATCGTATCTTGTGACTTAATTGTGAATTACAGATCACTAGAAACTAAAAGGGTAAAAAAAACTTTTTTCTAAATTTTTCTCTAAACTCTCAGTATATCCCTTTTTCAGGAGGGACCTTAATGTTGATCAGTAGTGATGGTTAACGAGGCATCTTGAAGCCAAACTGTACTGATGCTGCATTGATACTGTCTCCCAGAATACCGACACCTGCTGGACATTTAAATTCACTACAGGCAGCTGATTGGACAGACTGAACTGAATTGATTTGATGACCTAGTACAGGGGCCGGCAACACAAACTGTTCAAAGAGCAATATTGGACCAAAAAAACTAAAATCTGTCTGGAGACACAAAAATGTAAAAGTCTTCTATAAGCCTCGTATGGTAACACAGGCTCTACGTGTATGAGCCCACTATTAAAAAGGACTATGTGGGCTAAAGGCTGATTTAAACCAGGTGGTCTGCGTGTGTGTCGCAGTTACCGCAGATATGCCCCGCCCCCTCCGCAGACACTCTGCTGCACCTCTCCAAAATTGTAGGTGACAGCAGATAGGAGGCCTCTGATTGGTCAAATCTACATCTGCTCTACTCTATGCGTATTTCCTGTTTGGTTCCTCATCCGGCTTGTTTTGTTTGTCTGACCGCCATTGTGGAAAACGACTGAAGATGGACCAGCTAGTAGAGCGAGGTACGTGAGAACGCTTGGAGCCTTTTTCCACCTGGATCTCCGCTCTTTTTGGCCCTCATGTCCCTCCATTGTCGCACAAACTTGCCCCCACTTCCTCACCGCCTCAGCCGTATCTAGACCCACAGCTAGTTGCTGATTGGCCCTCTGGCGTTGTGGCGTGGAAAAACATAGCGCAGACCACGCTTCAATATTGAACAGAAATCAAAAATATCAGCAACACACTGCTGGGGGAGGATAAGCAGGCCTATAAATATATATGCGTTCATGATTAAATGTTAATCCTGGAGCAAATGTCACATGAGGTGAGGGAGGAGCAGTGAACGCTCTCACCGGTAGAATACACCACGTGCCGCTCCACCGTGTGGTTTAGGGTTTGCTGCATTGATGAAATGATAGAAACAGGATAAAGGAATCTTTCTATGGTGGACGTGTTTCTGATTGGAGGAGCTGATAGAGTCATGAGGAACCAAGCAGGAAGTGACATCCATCAGAGCAGAGCTCTCTAACCCTGAAATCCCACATCCTCCATCACCAGCGTTCCTTGGTTTTAGTTTAATTTTGAGGATTTGGGGGAAATAAATGTTAGAAAGAGATCAGAGCATCAGAGCGCTAACTGTTGGATCTATGAACGGTTTTGCAACTAAACCAGGAGTAGTGGTTTGGTTTGGAGATGCAGTCCACTTTTTACATCTATCTTTGTTCTCCTCTAATTTCTCCAGAAGTTCTGCAATTGCACTTTTTCTCTCTCTTGGTGGTGGGCTGCAGATTTAGCATTCCTTCCCTGGAAATGCCTTTCCAAACGATTCGCTCCTTTCTTCTTTGAATCCTCTGTTCTCATCAGCTATCTTCCTTTTTTCCCCTTTTGGAATCCATGGCCTGAGACACACCCACTGCTTTGTTTAGGACAGCCACCTGCCTGGCACTAGCCTCGTGAGACCATCCTGATCTCACGAGCTTTCAAGGTTTCACTCGCTAATCAGTCTGGAGACACTGTTAAAGAACATATTGAGCCGTTCACCAAACGAACGTCCAATCAGCGTTGGCTTTGAGGCGGGTTGAGGTGTGACGCAACGAGAAGCGCGACAGTTCAGTCTAAAGAACATGGCGGCTTCAGCCGATGAAACTAGCGTTAGCGTGGCTATCGAGCAAGTTTTATGGGAATTACAGAGTATTTCTTCACTGAAAGAAGAGCAAAACACTGCTCTGGAGGCTTTTCTCAGAGGAAAAGATGTTTTTGCTCTTCTCCCGACTGGTTTCGGCAAGAGTAGCCTAGCTTGTGGTTGTGTTTTCGTCGTCGCTCTGTTAGTACGTCATATGCTTCGTTGATCTGATTGGTTTATTTGGCCCGTCTATCACCAACATAGGCCAATCAGCTAACCAGTATTTTCGCCCCTTCCCAAAATTACTTCAACGGAAGGTTTCCAGATGGATATGCGGAGCAAATCCATCTGGCAGAGTCAGGTGAGCATGGCAGCGCGCCGCGCTGAAACCTGCTGCTGGCCATGACCACTGATCTGTATGGTCATGATAAAACAATAAATAAATTTCCCTCCAGGGAGCTGCAAGGAGGGGGCGCTAAAGAGCCGCATGCGGCTCCGGAGTCACAGATTGCCGACCCCTGACCTAGAACAATGATATAATTGAAGTGATTGTAGGTTATATTCTATTATTTCCTATCTATGTTTAAATTGAAAATATCTTTGATATGTTTTGATGCAGTCAATAAATAATGTAACATTTATTATAACGTAAAATGTGAATGAAGATGCTGCTGGACTGGGAATTGAAATCCTAATTAAATAAACAATAAGTGCAGTAAAAACAGTAGGCTATATAAACTAAGAGTCAATTTGGAATGAACTTTGATTCAGATAGTTGAGTGATAAAGGTTGACACAACGAGAAAATTAAAATAAAAACCCATGGCTGAAACATTCCTTTTCCTTTTAGGCTCCAAAATTCTGGATCATTTTAATGATAAACTGCGAAAGAAAAGACATCTTGTTTAGCAGATGCATCATGTTGACAGATAAGTTTTTAAACCCAGTTTAGTGAGTCAGTCAGTTAGAAGCAACTCTTCATTAGTGATCAGTGGTTCTAGAGGTAGTGCAGCCTCTTACATGATGCTTTGAACTAAAATCTATTAAACAAATTACGCGAAATTTTGAGGCTTTTCTCTATCTAAATGCATCAACATGATGAAACCCAACAACACATTTTGATCTGCGGTCCCAGCTGAGACCATGTAGACAGCGGCTCGCTTTCTGATGCTTCCTAAATTGGGTTCATCGTTTATCGGACGCAGCATTTTCTGCTTTCTTATACAAAATAAATTAACTTCCCAAAAACTTTTTGGTTCTGAGGTGTTGAAAAATATTCAATGTATAACAAATAGACCTGAATGCTGCTGGGTTTATAAGGAGCCAGCTAGATGGATCCATTTTAAAGTTCAGACAGACGGAAGCCAGGAAGTCTTAGTCGGCAGGTTTAACTTCCTTTTCTTCAAGGTAGAAAAACGAGAAAATTTAGATTCCCAAAAGTTTCTTCCTTTGCTCATCAGCATCTCTCTCTCCAGCCAGCAGAGTTAGATGTAGAGGCTGAGTCTGGCTACTGATAATTCATGGTAGTAAGAAGGCGGCCATGTTGGATCCGTCCCAGCTCAGACTTCAGCCACTTTGTTCTGATTCTGTTTCTTTTCCAGAAAAAGGTTGTTGTTTTTTTTTTTTGGTGCATGGGCAGAACCTGAATGGCTCACCGTCATCAGCCAATGATTAATGACTTTATTTAGTCTGACTTTGGTGGGAACTTGATAAAATCTTCAGTCATGGATCCTTTTATCAACATCTTTACTGAGGATGTTCCCAGTATGACTTGATTTTCAAAGCTGAGGTGAAAAGACTGGAAGTGCTAGGATAAACTCTGAGCGAAGAATATTTCTCCCTTAGTGGTTGACATAGATTGTAAACTGAAGATGTTTGAGGGCAATCCTAATGCTACGTTCAGACCGCGCACAGCAGAAGCAGCAAAAACGCGCATGATGCTTCATTTTTGATGCTTGTACCAGTTTAGTTCTGACGCACGACTGAAGCATCTTTGTTGCACGGTGGTAAAGTGGGTCTGATGCGCGGTGGGCGGAGCTACCCTATTCTTTCTCTGCCTGGAACAATGGCAGCTATATTAGCTGTGATCAGCGGGTAAAAAGTAGTTAGAATCTATGTTGAAGTGAGAAAGTCCTCCTGAAAACATGGTCTGTGCAGTCAGTTCATCCAGATTACCATCCTGCCTTCAAAGATTATTTCTCTGTGGGAGCCGCTCAGACCCCCACATACCGGCGCTGCGCTGTCACTGGGAATCCCCAGCAGCAGCTGCCTCAGGCCCGCTCGCCTCTCCAGGGTTTTCCCCTCCTGTTGGTGGCGGCTGGAAGTAGATGTTAGCGTTTTTCAGGTCTGTGCTACAAACTGCAGGCAGCAGGATAATAAAAGCCAACATATTCTGCCGGCAGGTTTCTACATTTGAAGTTAATTTAGGCGTTAATAAACTGTTTCAGAGGAGTGATCATAGCGCTCTGCATCAGCAGTGCTGCGTCTGACTCCCTGCCAGCTCCCAGATCAGCTTCTCTCATTGGTTGATGTTGCGCGTCCAGCAGCTAAAGTTAAATTTTTCCAACTCCAGCAGCTGCTGCATCAGATGGGCGTTGCGAGCGTTAGATGCTCATGACGCGCTGCCGGAACTTTTTACTGCGCCTTGATGTGCATCAACCATTGACTTTGCATGTAAACTAGCTGCTTGTGCAGCCTCTGCTGCTTGCGGTCTAAACATAGCATTATAGCCAGGCTTCATGCAGTCATTACTTTCTTTTTAAAGAGGGATTGCTGGGTTTTAGCTTCCTGAAACCAAAGAGCAAACTCAGCCCATCCTGTGTTCTGTTGCGTCTGTTTATCTGCTAGAGTTGGAGCCTAAGGCAATTATTCCTCAGCATAGTTCACTCT